TTCACATTTAGAATATTCCCCTTACATCTCATGACGTTTGTGCATGTGTAACACATAACCATTTTTCGTTGATATCTGTTAATATAATCATTAAAAAATATGATTTTATCCTAATAAAAAATTATAATTTCATATTACCTTTTATTTTGTGGATTCGATATACTCTAAAGTTAAAAATCAAGGTTACCATTTGAATGTCTAATAAAATGTAGATATTTATATAAAAGGTAATATGAAAAACATTATATAAATATTTACATTTTATTAGACATTCCATTAGTAAACTAGATTTTAAACTTTAGAATATATTAAATCCATAAAATAAAGGGTAATATAAAATTATAATTTTTTATAANACCATACAGCTCGCGAGGTCTCTCTAAGATATTTCTCTCTCTCCTCCCCTCTCTCTGTTCTCTGCTACTGTGCTACACACACAGAGGCCGAAACAAACACACACACACACATCCCATACATGCAGAAACCCCTTTTCCTCTGCCATTGATTATTGGTGTTAAATTCATGTGATGGGATAGGAATTGAATAAATATTTTAGATTAATTATGAGAGTAATTTAGTGGTTATCTTTTAAGTATTTTCTTTTAACTTTTAAGGATTTAATTGTCATTATGGCTATTTATTTCTTGGATNGTAAATTGAGATTTTTGATCTTTGAGGGTGCAAATTGAGATTCGAACAATCTTTCGGGGTACAAAATGAGATTAACCCTTATTTCTTTTAGAGTTCTTTTCGGAGTTGTGCTCTCTCTATATATATATATAGGGAATATGATATTTGTTTTGATAGACTTTGATTATTAATTATTGATATTGAATCTTCTTTCTAAAATTCTCTCTATTCTCATCCCCTTTTTCTTTTTTTCTCATTTCATATTCTTCCATTCTGATCTCTAATTCTTCTCTAATACGTTCTACATCAATTTAGTATCAGAACCCAACTTCGATTCAAAGAAAAAAAAAACAAAGTTACTATTCATCGCACTGTTTATGTGTGTATTGGTCATCCAAAAATACTGTTCATTCGGGAAAAAAAAAAATAGAGCCAGCCAGCGAGAAAAAAAAAAATTATCAAGTTTTGTCGCTGTAGTAGTAGCCTGGTGGGTTAAGTTTTGACCCAAAGTTCTCAGCATATTCAGCAAATTATAGAAACATTTCCATAAGTTCTAAAAATTGCAAACACATCACAAGAGGTCTTCAGAAATTACAAAAACATCCNCATATTCAGCAAATTATAAAAACATTCCCATAAGTTCTAAAAATTGCAAACACATCCCAAAAGGTCTTCAGAAATTACAGAAATATTCCAAAAAATTCTAGAAGTTCCAGAATCACCATCAGAAAATTTCAAAAATTACATAATCATCACTAGAAGTTTCAAAAATTATAGAATCTTCCCCCCATAAATTCTAGGATTACAGAAAATATTCCCAACAGATCTATAAAATTGTAGAATCATTCCCAAAAAGTTTTAGAATTTCCTATTGATTATGCTATGCATACTTCTATAGAAATTTGAAACTGATATTTTTATTCATTGAAAAAATTAAAAAAATTTGCAAAAGATCCAAATTATTTGTCAATTACATTCTTGAACTTGTTTTGACGTCATTCCCTTGTTCCAAGAGTCACTTATGAATTTCTTTAATGCGCATGTTTCAAGAATCTCTCCTCAATGTCAGCATCATAGGAAGTCTAAGAATATTTACATGGAGTCAACTCATATGACCAAACGAGTGAAAGATCCTTCTATATTTAATGACACTTTAGATCCTTTTGAATTATTGGATTTGTTAGCTAATTTATAAGAATATTTTAATTGGCATAGCATGTTAGATTCTCATTGTGTCCGTTTTGCTAAATTGATGTTAGAGGGTTCTGCCAAGAAGTATTGACAAACAATTCAAAGAAACCTAGACCCATTAGGAGAATCACTTATCACTTGGGTTGAAATGAGATATAAATTGAAAGATAAATATTTGCCTACTTCCTACATGAATCAATTTTATGATCAATGGCTAAATCTTAGACAACATTCTTTTCGTGTCTCTGATTATTTTGTCCAGTTCGAGTATCTCATGTACTTGTGTGACATTGTTGAAAAATCTTGGACAATTGATCAGTTTATTCTTGGATTGAGACCAAAAATTAATAGGGAGGTCAAATTATGCACTTTTAATACGATAGTTACAGCGTGAAAAGATACCTTTAAATTTTATTTCGACAACATATGAGTATCATGATTACTTGAATTATGTCTATGTTGCTTTTGCATACTTTCCTAATCCGAATGTGACAAAGGATTTAGATATGCTAGTATCGAATAAAAAGAAAAATGTTACTCATATTGACTTCCAACTCCCTCCTTCAATTTCATCAGATCAGAGTCCTCCTCCTTTGTCCCCAAAAGAGTTCATATCGAAAGAAAGTGTGTGAGTCTTTGCTTGTGTCAATTCTTAAACCATCATTGGTTTTGAAAATTATGAAAAAGTCTGTTGAGTCAACACCTACGCAAGATATTAAGCCAATCGAGTCATTTATTGCAGAATCTACTAGTGATTATTTTGTGTCTACTTGTCCAAGTCATCATGACTTTTCTACAAATTCTTCCCAACCTGAGATTGTTGACATTGTTCTGGATTTTGCCCCACTTGACAGCGATAAATTTGTTTCTTTGCCAATAGTCAAGTGTTCAATTGAGTCTGTACTTTCTTATTTTCAGTACCAGGGTGTTATAGTTACTCATTTGTCATTGATGTTTTGTCCTACTGAATATCTTTTGTTTAAATCTAACGAGAATTGTTTGGCTATTCGTGAGTTTGGATCTAATACTTATTTGCTTAATTTTTCATTGAATGTTAGTATTGGTCCAGATTTTTATTTGGAGGACATGCTACTTAATCGAGGTACTCCAGAGCCTCTTATTTTGTTATCAGGTGTTTCAACAAGTGGAATTGCTTTTTCCTCAACATTAGCTCCAGATCTTATCTTTCCACTTCCATTACATATTTCGGGGCAAATAGATGATGTACTACGTGACCAGATTTACATTGTTACAGATGGAGATTCTTGCATTTATTCGGATCTATGGAAAGATATTGATGGTTCGTTCATTCTAAATAAAACATTATGTCATCTTTGTTTTGCTCTTGTAGGGTACTTCTATTTTGAAGACTCTCCGGAGAAGAGTTTTTCTCAACCGGAGGAGAATGATGAGGATCGTATAGGAATTGAATAAATATTTTAGATTAATTATGAGAGTAATTTAATGTTTATCTTTTAAGTATTTTCTTTTAACTTTTAAGGGTTTAGTTGTCATTATAACTATTTATTTCTTTTAGAGTTCATTTAGGAGTTGTGTTCTCCCTATATATATAGGGAATATGGTATTTGTTTTAATAGACTTTGATTATTGATTATTGATATTGAATCTTCTTTCTAAAATTCTCTCTATTATCATAATCTTCTTCTTCTTTTCTCATCCCATATTATTCCATTCTCATCCCTAATACGATCTACATCATCATGTCATTTACAAGTTTATGTCGAGAAATGATCAACCTCAACCTGTTAATTTCAAATTGTATCAACGTGTTATGTCAGAAATTGTCATCCCTAAGTTTTTATTTTAATTACTTAAATTTAAATCAGTTGTATTATTAATCTTGGATTTGAATATTATATACTTGCATCAAATTAAAATTTATTTCTTATAATTAGAATTTCATATACTAACATTCTATTGAATTTTATTTTAAACCAAACTAGATATACTTATAATAAAAATCAAATCAACTTAACTCAATCTTGGCTCAATATTTTTTAAATCGGTTATCTGAATATTTTTTCATGAAAAATTTAGAAGTCGGTACAAAAATTTGAATTTAATTGAGCTAAACTACATTAAAAAAACTTATTTGACCATAAATGCATTTTTTTTAGAAAAAGACTAAAAGATTATTCATTACTCCATTATTATCTATCTCTTTCCCCTTTTCTCTCCATTATTCT